TGATTTCCCCAGGCTTCTTTTGAATAAAGCCGGCTGGCGCCATTTTTAAATGCCGGCTAGTTCGAACCCCGTGCCGCGCGGCTAGACGCGGCACGGAGTAGCTAGTTCGGATTAGGCTTCCTAATCCGAACTAGCTATACACCTCGTTCCAAGAGGAGTACAGCTAGTTCGGATTAGAAGCCTAATCCGAACTAGCTAGTCCGTGCCACGTCTAGCCGCGCGGCACGGGGTTCGAACTAGCGGGCATTTAAAAATGGCGCCGGCCGGCTTCATGCAAATGAAGCCCGGGAAATTCAAATCCCGGGCTTCATTTGCAACTGCGGATGACTACATTACCCCCGCTAGTTCGAACTAGCGGGGTAGTGTAGACATACCCTGGTTGAGAAACACTGATCTAAACATCTCTGATTAACACCTTCCCTTAGGTTAAAACCTCTCCTGCCACCAGGGAAGGCTGGATTTTCAAGATTCAGAGAAACGTTTCCCACATCAGGTATCTGTAAAGATTGATGCGAGTTGCCCCAGAGCCAGAGATTTTACTTTTTACAGCATCTATTGTACCATGAAGGCTTTAAAGAGCCATGTCACAGCTCACAGTCAGTGAAATTATCCCGTAATTAAAACCCAATGTTATTTCCCATTACACTGGACAGCAACTCCGTACTTTGGGGTTCGTATCCTGGGCTATGTCTACACTCCCGGCTTCTTGCGCAAGAACATCTTGCGCAAGTGTTCTTGTGCAAGAAGTCTTGTGCAAGAAAACGTCCACACTGCCATGTGCGAGGTGTGCTTTTGCGCAAGATCTCCCATGGCAGTATGGATGCTCTCGTGCGCAAGAAAGCTCTGATGGCCATGGTAGCCATAGGGCTTCCTTGCGCAAGAAATCCCTGCCGCGCGTCCACACTGCCCTCTTGCGCAAAAGCTCCTGCGCAAGAGGGCTTACACCTGTCAAAAAAGAGCGTAGCTCTTGCGCAAAGAGCTCCCTCTTACCACGCCGTACTGTAAATTTACTTGCGCAAGAGCAGGCGGGCAGTGTGGACGCTCTGCAGATTCTTGCGCAAGAACGGCTGTACTTGCGCAAGAAGCCGCGAGTGTAGATATAACCTTGTAGTCCTGAGCAGCTTCCTGTATTGGCACCAACATGCCAGCCTGGGATCTGTCACCACACAGATGGGAGTTTGATCCTCTTCACAGAACAGTTTCAGAGCCTCCTGGTGCTCCCCGCACACCCCGTCCCATGTTGCTCTCTTTGCTGCCTGGAGACTTAGCAGTTTGGCTAGTTCCACCACGTTGGCCAGCTGCCGAATGGGGCAGAGGGGACCCTGCTGCTCAGTGTCTCTGCCCTGAGGGGGGCCTGGCAGGAAATGTGCCTACACTCCAGAGTGACAGTGTGAAATCCTCCAGACAGACGGAACATGGCGCTTCCTCCTGGATTCTTTACACCGGGCTCTCTGCAGCCATGGCTGCCTCTGGGCTGGGGATCAGGGGCCGTGTCACTTCCCTGAGCTCAGCAGTGGAGGGGCAGGTCGGGGCCTGGGGACGTGAGGCACCAGCACTGAGGACACACACAAAAAAAAAAAAAAA